CCCCAAAACCCCAAAACCCCAAAACCCCTAAGTTGATAATTTCAGCGATTGAGAGTGAAGGATGTGTTGATAATTGGAAAAATAATATAATAAAAGTGTAAGTGAAGTTTATAAATGTCACGGTTAACGGCCCCTCCTCAAGGATCAATGTTCCCCCCGCCATAGGAATCGCTTTTCGAATTCAGAAAAAATCTACTTTCCATACTATCAAAGTTCTCAGATAATCACACTATGAAGACGGGAATGGACGAGATAAGAAAGTTCATGACTGCAGATATCACTGACAATGACAGGATGAACTGCTTTTTAAGTGCTATTTCAGATCAAAATGAGCACATGAAGCCTCAATAGAAAAAGGAATAGATTAAGATATATGGATTGGCAGCAGAAATATTTGAGGAGTCACTGATACCCTTTATTCCGAAGATATTAGCCACCCTATAAAAGAAAATCAAGGAGAATACAGTCTAGATACACGAAGCTGTATCGGACGCACTTGGACAACTCGTCTTTTTCATTATTAATAAAGTAGATGATTTCACAGAGAAGCAAGAACTGCTTGAAAATTTCTTCAAACTTCCAATGCAGCTGCTTGAGAAAAGCCCTAATAAAACAGTATAGGCAGGAGCTGCTTAATGCTTATCGAAGGTAGTGTAAAATAGTCCAGAGGACGTGCTGAGTGAATTACTTGATGACCTCACAGACAAGATGATTTTAATCATGAATCAGAATTCATTCAAAGCTCATACTCCGTTACTTGAGTGCATTATATCTTTGGTGTTTCACGTTGAGCAAGATTTCACACCATATGCTTCTAAGTTTCTTCCCGTATTAATTGAGTTCATTGCTTGCAACGACTGGTCAACTAAGAAAGTAGCTATCGATGCAATTTATTCGATGACAGCTATAATCAAGGAGGAGATTATACCTTTCAGACTTGATATCTTGTAAGTCTTGAATCATTGCAGATTTGACAAGATTAAACCTGTAAGAGAGGCCACTCTAGAAACCATAAAATTAATCAAAGAAATAGGGCCTCCATTAGATGATGAATAGCTAGCTTTAATTGAAGATAAGCCAGTCAAAAATTCGAAGCAAGGTCCGACAGCTCCTTCTGTAAAAGATAGAGGCAACGGTTCAAAGTCTGCGAGACCTACTAAAAATGGAGGGGCAGAAGAATAAAACTTTAGTAACATTTAGCCAATCAATAAATAGACTTCAGTCGCCTAATCAAAAAAGCCACCAGTTAAAGACGGGAAGAAACCTCCTCTTAAAGACGTATAGAGATCAAATACCTCTGTTTTAATGTCAAAAGATGAGGATTAGGATGTGAATAATAACGTTCCAAATAGAAATGACAAGAAAGTGTCTTCGGCAACATTGAAAAGAAGGGCAGCTTAATCTCCTTTAAGAGAATAAACTCCAAACATGACTGGAGGCAGTTCAAACAATCCTGATGGAGATAAATCCCCAGTGAGAAAGGAATTTATATCTGTCTTCAAATAAATGAAGAATCCCAACTTCTTTAAGGATCAATCCGATATTGAGATATTTGAGGGCAAGAGACCTGACAACTTTGAAGGGATGCTAACTTAATAGCCAATAGTTGAGGAAGTTAAAATAAAAAAAGATATGATATCTAGTTCAGCACAGAACTCAGATAATGAAGCTTAATTCCAAACCTCTGTTACAAAGTAAAGAGCACAAAAAACTGATAAAATTAATGCTAACGCAAAACGGGAGGAAAAGGAATAATCAATTAGCAATCCTGATCAAAAGAATAAGGATAAAGATAAAAACAAAAAATAGCCAAGACCTAAATTCTAAAAGCCATAAGTTTAAAAGAAAAATGATGCATTTGATAATATAATGATTTACGAGCCTAAATAAACAGGAGCTACTATCCAAAAAATATAGAATGAAGAGTAAGAAATAGAAGAAAACTTTATTCAATCAAACAAAGTTAGCGAGTAAAAGCATAAATTTCAAGATCAACCTGAGGATAAATAAAAACTAAAACAAAATAAATGGGTACCCCCTTAAGAATAGGAAATTATCCAAGAAAAATAGTAAAATATTTTTTCTCCTGTAAAATCACCAAGAAAAGAGTTAAGACCTTAGTAAAATGAGAATCAAGATGATTTGACAGAGGATGATAATAGATCAATAAACTCGGATTACTTCTAGCATGGCAACAATATGAGTTTCAATGCTTAATAAAACAAATAGAAAGAAGAAAATTTCTTAAATAACTATTAGAAGTATAAAGATGATTATGATGATGTCAAACCAACCGAGAGTACTCCTTTACGAAAGTCTATCTCTCTTGATAACTATGCTAAATATAGTCAACAGCAAAATTATTAAGAAAATAGCTAAAATACTTTCAACTTAGATAAGGAAAATAACTATTCTGAGTTGGGTAGAAGTGGTCATAAAAAGAGCTCAGTTGATTTGGGGCAGATGCCATATTCTTAGCCTTAGTAAAACAACCTGAATCTTTCCTAATAAAACATCAGTGGAAATCCTTCTGGCATCTAATAGTATGCTGATAGCTACCAATATGATTATACATAGAGACTTTCAGTTGATTAAAATAGCACTACTGCTAATCTCTAGGGATACTAATAAGTACAAAATACTCCCTAGAAGACTTTGCATAATAGAAATTATACTCCCTCCACTCTCCTTTACAGCCAGCAGAGTAATTTAATGTCAATGGGAAATGACTATTAAAATACTCAGTAAATCTCAAAGAAATCTAGCATTTATGATATTTAACCAACAGCAACTACTGCTTAGTCTTTGAACTTGCTTTAATAGTCTTAAAACTTGTACACCTCACCCTTAACATCAAGCATATCCTCATTAGGTCCTTAGAATAACTCAGCTTCAACGAATAATCTAGTTTCATCTTATCAAAAGTTAGATACCTTTTAATTCTCAAACTTATCTTAAAATGTCTAGCTAGTTATGCTTTAAATGGAAAAGATGAACCAGTAGCAGAGTTTGTTTATGGAAACAGTTAAGAATTTCCAAGATAACGTCAAAATAGAAATGGCTTAAATTAAAACTAAGGTGACAGAACTTGAAACATAAATACTGGAACTCAAAGTCCAATGCAATAATAAGATTAATGGAGATGAAGTGAGAGATTTAATTAATAAGAAATTTAACCAACTAACTGAATTCAAGAAAGAAGCAGACAACCTTTAAATGAAAACAAATCAGTACGCCTAAAATCTATAAAATCTGAGAAGCACTCCAATTCCCATGTAAAACAACTTTATTTTACCTCAACCCCTAAACTTATACGGGTAATCGTTGCCCTCGTTAGATGTTCAATAGTAGCTTTTAAGTCCGCCCTACTAGGAAATTAATCATCATGATGACTACCAATTCAGTAACCCTGGGTTTGCTAACAATAATATCGGAGTTACTGATTTTAGTCAAATTTAAGATGAAAAGAAGAACGTTTGGAAGTACATATAGGGTATGGTATAGAGATAACAATTTAACGACGCCTTCTTACTTGCCTTGAATGCCGAAGATGAGATGATTCTTATCAGATTACTTTCTAAGACTGGATGTAAGTATAAATAATGAATAATATATCTATAGCCTTTGAATTTGAGAAGCTGTACGAGCCTTAAAGAGATGATCTTATCAAGAGATCATTGATGCTGCTTGAAGGCAAAGAATTTATTGATATATTGATACCGTGTATTAGTGAAGCAGTGGATAGATTCTACATGCTAATGTCAAGAAGCATGAAGGAGTTAATTATTCACAAGTTAAGCAATATGAAATATGACAGAGATTTCAGTGAGATCCAAAAACTTGAAATCAAGAGAGTCACCGATAAACTTTCTCAAGTATTGTGAAATACATACAAATATTTCTAACCCATGCATAAATATAATAAATGTTGCTTACTCAAATACTTATCGATTTAACTTTATTATTGCATCTTGGGGTTTTGGGGTTTTGGGG